GCATTTTCATGGCACTTTCTGTCATGCTGATTGTAGTGCAAGCATCTCAAGGACACATTTCTCAGAGGTGGCCAGCACAGCGTGTCTTTAATGACACCCCATACAAATTGAAGTAGGGCACTAAAGGGCTATTAACTACCCCACACCCCCTCCACATATGCGTGCAAGGAGGAATGTATACATGTGTGTGTGCACTCGTGCACATGCATGTGTGTATGCTACCCCTCCACTTCCCCCCGCCCCCCAACACACACCCTTAATTTCAGATGCAACACAACTGGTGGGAATTGCCATCCCAGTACTTGGGGTGTAGATGCAGACACCAGCAGAGAAACAGACGCTCCTTCCGAACCCAACACATGTAAAATTTACCCTTTAATTAGCATCTGCAGCTGCTGCCATCAGAAGGGTCTGTCTCTGTTGGCCTGAAAGTCTTTGCTTTAAAAGAGCAAGTCCATTATAGCTCCAAGCCAGGCTCATCTGTCAGCTGCTGTGCTTTCTCTGCCATCCACAGGGTTGTCACATTGTTTAGCGCTGTTTCACCAGAGGGATCTTTTTCCTCCCCCTTCCTTCCGGCCATTGATTACCATGCCTTGGTGAACACCATTCAGATGACCTGCCGCTGTTTATTGTGTGCAGGACGTCTTCTGTCCTTGCCAGGGCAAAGGATCGTTGCTTCAGTGCTGATGGACTGGTTATTTTCCAGCCCTTTGTCGTCTGTAATCTTGTCTTGATATGCAGAAAGGCTCTAGGCAGTCACTGGTGACAGGTGGGCCGCAGGAACAGTGGCTGAGTTAGAGAAGTACCCTCCGCCATGGGCACTTCTCATTGGGTGGGAGTGGGGTTGGCTTCTCGACCTCTTCAGCAGCTGGTTTCAGTGCTGGGCTGGGGTGGGCTGGCTAATCAGATCACCCCATGGCTCCTTCACATTGTAGATTCCAGGCAGCCCTGGTTCCTGCAGGTTCTTGGAGCTTGAGCAAGGACATCAGGACTTGCTGATGTCCCTGGAACCCACATATTTTACAAGCTCTGTGAATGTTTGGAATGGGAAGGAGACATACCTTATCCTCTCATTTGTTTAACTTAGGTGTAGGCCAGAGGTATGGGGGGGGATTCACGAGAGACAGAGCCGGGAGCACAACAGGCAGATCTACTGAAATACACTGCTGAGGGGAGCAGCAGGCGAGACAGGAGAGGTCTGTTGCACCGTATTGGGTTAGCTCCCTGGCTGGGGATTGAACTCATGCCACAGTGGCTGGTGATAGCTTGATAGCGCTGAGACTTTAACCTATTTTTTAAAAAAACTTTGTTGTCACCCTATTAGAATTTCAGCTCCATGAAGGCAGGGATTTTTTTCTGTTTTAGTCACGACTGTTTTCCTCTTATCTGGTTCAGTGCCAGGCCCATGACAGGCACTTGAATATTCCTTTGCATGAATGTGTTCTATCCATTTTAAAAAGTGCTTCTCCCTGTGACTCTGTGGGGCAGGCAGGTTTGAGAAGCTGTGCCCCAGAGGACTAAGTAGTCTTCTTGGCTTAGAGGCCATGTAGGGGGATCACCACATGGACAGCTCACAGTAACAGTAGACTGGAGTCCTCTATTTTTGACAAAAGCAGATGCTGTGAACAAATGTTGGGCCACGGCCGATGTGGTAACGTTAGCCTGAAGTTATTTATAGTGTCTTGCTCACCCTGGTTTTCGTTTGCCACCAGTCATCTGCTATGCAATCTTGAAGACCCTTAGTTTGTCTTTTTTTTTTTTTTTTAAGATTTTTAATGGGTTGAGGTAACAGATTTCAGGTGTACAGTAGTTTGCTGCTTTTGATGAAGCTTTTGGAGGCTCTTGATTTTTTTAAAAAAAGCTCAGAAGTGTTTTCCGCAGGCACCTGAGTGCTGGTGTCTTTAAACTCGAGAACTCAGTGATGGATGAAGCTCGAGTTGGCTACACACCAGCCATCTTCTCCAGGGCCTTCGCTCCTCCCAGGATGGGCAGCCATTCCCCAGGGGCATGGTTTGGAGGTGGGCCTAGCTTGTTGGGACAGCAAAATTTACTCAGTAAGCGGCCACACTAACCGTGCACACTTGGAGTTTTCTAGTATGTAATTTGGGGTGTTGGTGGAGGGACAGGGTTGATTAGTGTCTTTGATATAGACCCAGTCTGTGTAGACGTTCGTGCCACCCTGCGTCTGGGTTGACCCCGTGCCGTGGAGCCTGCTGCCTGGCAGCTGTTGTCATTATTGTTGCTTGTCTTCCCAATCAGCCCTGGTTTTGAGCAAATGAAGAGTTGTTCAACTCGTAGAAAAGACTTTTTGAGTCTGGGCAGGGATTTTCAGCTCAGGAAGTTGGATCTGAAGAGGAGCAAAAAACACATCTTTTTGCCTTTCTAAGACACGGTTGGTTTTCCAAACTATCTTATTGGTTATTACAAACAGAATCTTCAGGAGTAAACTCCTAGGTACTAAATAATGATGAGTTTGTGAACTTTTAAAAGTTACCAGTGGCTACCTGTCTGGCTGTCACATCCTTAAACTTACAAGCTGTTCGGTTTCTTTCACATCTTTAATAGAGCCAGATTAGAAAATTTATAACGTCGACTTGTCATCATAAATATGCATTGTTCTTATTTTAAGACTTTGTGGTTTTAAAAGCATGAGTACTTCTGTTATTATCTGCAAATTTCTTTTTTTTTTCCCCTGGATGTTTAAGACCTTTTTAATGGCAATATGTATTTAAAACAGACGCAAAAATTAGCACTCACCCACATACCCAGGGCCTGTGGAGAACCAGGTTGGGATGAGTGGGTGAGCTATAGGCTGCCAGGTGGCTCCTGCAGGCTGCTTTAGGACTGGGGAGAGAAGCTCATGTGTACTGTGAATTTTGGGGAAATAAAGTCTGCATTTTAGCTGCCACCCCTTCTGAGGATTGCTGTTCTTGTTAGTTCATAAGTCACTTTTTTTCAGTAGTTTCCATGTATCTGGAAACTTACTCTGCCCAGTATCTGGTTGAGTATTTGCTGCAGGTAAGTTGTAAGTGGGATAGGCACCCAGGTGTCGTGGGAGGCCAGGCAAATTGCTGGCTCCTCCAGGGCGCTCTGGCATGGGGTTAACTTGGTGCTGGACAGTCTTTACAAGGCCATCCGGGACCTCTGGGGGTGTGTGCAGATGTTCCACTTTGACTTGGCAAAAGCTTTCTTGTAACCCTGGACTAAAAGGAAGTGGATTTGGAGAAGGATGGAGAGAATTCGCATCCCAGAGTTGGCTTCTCAAATATAATGCAACAGGAGGCCCTTGAACAAAGTTTTCTTATTTAATTGGCTGAAGTAGAAGGAACCCACATTACTCGGTGACCCACTTTCACTCTGTGTAACTTGACTTTAAAGTCGCAGTCTCCAAGCACCCGTCCATAAGGATGCACTGTTGTTTGAGAGAGTAAGTGGGTTTTGTGGGAGAAGAAGGGGCACATTTATTTGAATCGTGCTTCTTTCCAGAAATGATTTGAGATGACTTAAAAGACATATTTAGAGGGCTCGTAAAATGGGAAATCAGAGCAAAGGTCAGGAGGAGGACTCTGAGGCATGACATGGTTGCAGAGATGGTCATGATGGGTCCTGGCTTCTCCCAGCACAGTGCCAGGTCCTCTGAGGACTTGGGTTTCCTTATCCTCACGCAGCGCTGCAAGGGAATTTGTCCTGTCCCCATTCTACAGATAAAATTGAATGTGAAGTCATTAGGCTGGAGTGTGAGGCCTCGCAGGCCACCAGTCACCCTCTTGTTGGATTTCATTTCCTTGGGGTAGAAGATTTTTTTTTTGTTAATCAAATATTTTACCTGAGGCTACACTCTATATTCTTCCACATCTTTCTATGTATATACCAATGGGTGTAATGATTTGATTTTTCTCATAAAAAAGGGATTGTCCTTTAGCCTACAAGGGCTGCCACTTTATATTATCATGGACAGTTTTCCATGGTAGTGCGAATAGATTGAATCCATTCATTTTTAATATCTGCATCTCATCCCATCATTTAGATAGATATTTTAAGCAGTCTCTTATTGAGGGACATTTGGGTGATTTCCAGGATTTTTTTTTTTAAAGATTTATTCATCCATGCATACAAGAACTGGGGTGTAGGCCAGAGGTGCGGGGGTGGGGTGGTGAGAGGATTCACCAGAGACAGAGCCTGGAACAGAATAGGCAGACTGACCGAAATACTCTGCTGAGGGGAGCAGCGGGCGAGTCAGGAGAGGTCTGCTGCGCCATGTGGGTAGCTCCCTAGCGGGGGATTGAACTCGTGCTGCAGTGGCTGCAGATAGCTTCATAGGTTGTGTTTCAACCCCTTGCGCCACCAGGGAGGCCCCCAGGTTTTTTTTTCCCGTTACAAACAGTGCTAGAGTGAATCTGTTTATTTAGTTACAAACTATAAGTTCCTACAAAATAAATTATCAGAAATGGAATTACTAGGTTAAGGGGCATATTATTTACATTTACATTTTTAATTTTTAAAATGTATTTATTATTATTTTTCACATTTAAATTTTTAATAAGGACTGTCAAACTGATATTGGAAAAGATTGCATCACATTTAGGGCTTGCCTCCTTCCTGCCTTCTGCTGGGTGCTGAGTGGAGTGCAAAGAAGATGCGAGAGGGTTTGTTACCCTCTAGGAATTTCCATCTCTGCTGTGTACCTGATCCTGGGGAATGTCTGGGATGTCAACTTGGGTAGTGGGTGGATTTAATTCAATTTTTCAAGCTTGCCTGGCAAACACTGTGCATGGTGTCTGCGACTAGTCTTTCATTATATTGATTCTCTTGGGTAATGGATGTGATTTCTTTAGGGCAGGGGCCTCATCCTACGTGACTTACAATATGTCTTACACATCTTCATTGCTTTGTGGAGACACTGTAATTATAACACGTCAGATGATATTTGAAGATCTAATTGAGACATTCAGGTTTTTTTGGGTGTGTGAAGAATTAATAATTTTGGCATTCTATAACAGATCATGGAATATCAGCCTGGAGGGGACTTGCTGTCACTTTTGAATAGATATGAGGACCAATTAGATGAAAACATGATTCAGTTTTACCTGGCTGAACTGATTTTGGCTGTTCACAGTGTTCATCAGATGGGATATATACATCGGTAAGTGAGATGCTGGTGTATACTGAGAGTTCTTCTGTAGTACCCAAGAATTCCTGCAACAGAGTGCATGAAGCAATGATTTCAGTATCAAAATCATGTGCCAATCAATTTTTTTATCCAGTCTTAACTATAACTGGCTGAAAGTAAATTTTCCAAGATGGCAGACATTTCAGCTTACCCATTCAGCAATGAAATTGATCTAGAATTATAATGATCTTATATTTGCTAGTAAGATCTGCTAATATAGCTAAAAAGACCAGGGTCTCCTGCATGGGTTATTTAAGTTATATGATCGAAAAACCAATTTGATTTGAAGAAAGAACTGGCCTACTACGTGGAAGTAGAAGACCATGCTGTTGTGTTTCTGATTGCACCTCTTGGTAATTTATAAAGATGTTCCAAAAATCCTTCATTGAAATGTGTTTCTTTATCGCCTCATCTGATGTTTTCTGTACTTGAGAATGTGGGAATGGGATGATGCTTAGACCAGGAATCACACAATCTGCAATGGAGTTTTAGCTTTTCCATTAACTGGCTACATGAACTGAAGCAACCCCCCTTGCTTCTTTTGGCCTTAGTTTTCTTAATGTAAAAATGTGTGTCTCTAGAAGAAATAATCCATCTAATAACATGAATTTTTTCTCTTTCCTTGCCTTCTTGCCATCATTTTTCTTCCTTCCCTCTCCATTTCTCCTCCTCCTTCTCATCCTTGTTCTTTTTTTAAACTTAAGTTTGTTTTGCAAAATATATACTTATTATTTACATCCATCAATAGCGAGATCTAGATAGCAGAATACAGACCTTAAGATTCTTGGCGGAAATGAGACCCTAGGATAGCTGTTGCTTGCTGATTGTTTTGGAGAACCCAATACTAATTTGTGGCCCTGATTTTCTTGTAGAGATATCAAACCTGAGAACATTCTCATTGACCGAATGGGACACATCAAGTTGGTAGATTTTGGATCAGCTGCTAAAATGAACTCAAATAAGACGGTAATAAAATGGAATAAGAATTCTTACTGGAGGTTGTACTAAAAAATGTTCTGTGGTCATACATAGGTTTGATAATATTTTGGAGACCTCCTCTGCCAGTATATTAAATGACTTGGTTTGGAAGAGGGATGGGAACACAGAGCTATTTTGCAGACTTACCTGACCTTGGCACTCTTGTAGATAATATCTGTTAATAGCTACAAAACATGTTTAGGAATATTTTAAAAGTTTGGTTGAAAAAAAGGAAAATGCTTACTTTATATTCCCCTTCATTTTCCTTGCTTGTCAGACTGCCTTCTATTATGTTATCTTTCTCACTTTAAAATGTTTTAACGAAATGTAACCTCTTTTATCTCAAATCCTCTACTTCCTATGCAACAAAATTGAAATTAATCACCAGAGCATTTGAACTAAATATCCTTAAGCATCAAGGACCAAGTGCTCAAAATGTCAATTCTAAGTCCTGGACCTTTGGTAAAAATCAAACTATTCCATGTGCTAATTAGGAAGGCAGGAGGGTAGCTGTTGAGATCAAGAGTGAGAATTGCTTTAGGAAAAAGGGGACAAAGTGAAAAATAAAAATAGATTTAAAATATCTGCTGATAAAATTTGTGCATACTAAAATGTGAATTTTCCAGTTCACCATGCAAAAAAATGGTGGGTCTAAGAGAAAAGTTGACTTAGATTTTAAGACTAATTTCACCATTGAACCACTTCGTGACCTGGCAGATCCTTGTGAATTTGACCTTTTATTCTTTCTCTAAAAATACTAATTCTAGTTAAAATGCAGAAATTTAGGAGGTTAGAGATGCTGCTACTCAAAATGCCCCCCACCCCACCTCCCTGCAGCTCTGAGAGTAGAGTTTTTTCTATAAAGGGCAATATATGAAAATTGCTTTTTCCCCTTAAGTTCCTTGGAGGAAAGAGGGGTATTACTAGTTCTTTGTTATCTTGTCCCACCCTGGCTTCCCTGTCCTGCAGACCAGAGATCTACTTGGCATAATTTCCTTGGTGTCAGGCCCTTGAAAAAATAGGCTATCTCTGCCAATTTTTTTTTTCAGATTATGAACTTATAATGTATTCCATTCCATTTCATTCCATTAAGAAATAGGTTATAGAATTAAAGCATTTTATTTTTGAAAAAAATTATGTGCATTTCAGAAATAAGCATGAAAACTTAAGAAATTCAATGGAACAAAGCACAAAAAATTTACGTAATGCAAAGTCTTATCTTCTAGCACTCAAAAACTGATAAATGTATTGCAGTAATGACCTTAATTAGCTCATGCATCTAGAAACAAATTGAAACATAAGTCTACAGTTTGATAATACAACCTCATCAAGATCGACGTTTGGGTGGGCAATTCTTTGTTGTGGGGAGCTGTCCTGAGTATTGTAGGCTGCTTAACTGCATCCCTGGTCTTTATCCACTAGATGCCAACAGCAACCTCCCCTGTAGTTGTAACAACCAAAAGTATTTCCAAGCATTGCCAAATGTTCCCTGGGAGGCAAAAATCACCGCTAGATCAGAACCACTGCAGTAGATTGAAATGTGTCAGAAAACTAATTAATTAGAGCTGAAAATATGTGTTTGCAATAGGAAAATCTATTCAGAACACTAGCAAAAGTCTCTGCTTGGCAAATAGGTGGGAGTTGGGAGGAAGACCCTGTCTCCTTGTGTGGCTTCACTATCTTCCCAGCCCTTGATGGAGAGACTCATATTCTTTGCAGATTTCTGTTTTTCAGTGTTTCAGACTGCCCTTTTCACTTTTAACTGTAGCAGCCTTCACTCCAGGTGGGCAACCTCCCTGAGGCACTCAGATATTTTTGCAGCTCAACCTCAACCCTTGATTATTTTGGTCAAGGAGACATGGCTCTCTGTTTTACATACTTGAGAATACTGTATCTTTTCTCTTTTTGGAGAGAGAGTCTCCTCTCCTGAACTTTGTGCTTTTAGACCCAGAGTGTGACAAGCAGTACGAAGGAATTTTTAGCATTGTTTTAATCACAAAGAAAGCAAATAACCTGCACTTCAGATCAAGCTTGGATATGGAATTATAATTTGGATATGAAATTTGTATATGGAATTATAATTTTGGTGGTATTTTTGATCAATGGTAGTGAGCTAAAAATGTGGTTCCTTTAAATAGACAGCTTTATAGGCCAAAAGTAGGTTCTAGATGGATTTTTGGTATTCAAAATATGTTGCCTAAAATACAATATATGCTTACTGCCGTTAATCTGACCTACTTACCCCAAATCAACGAACCTTTCTCCTGCCACCCCCAAATATTATTTATGTATTTTGGACATTTATCAATTTGAGCTGTCCATCTTCCATTGTCTTTATTTCAGGCTTCTCACTCAGAATATTTTCGCTTTGAAATATTTTTGCTCGTAGACCTCAGTGGGCCCTACTGCCTGGGCACTGGGTGTTAAGCTGACTTGTGCCATTGACCAGCTGTGTGACTTAGTGTGTGTCACCCACTTCACTTTATTAGCCTCTCAAAGAATAGCCAACAGCTAACAGTCCAGCCTGTCTCACCGATTGTAAGGGGATTGTAAATAAAGAGCATGATAGCATGTTAAGTATAATCAGCTCCATTTAGCAGTGGGAAACCCATTGGAGAGAGCCCTTCGGAGATTTATGTACAAGTGTAAAAATTGTGTTTCTTTTCCTCAACAGAACAACAGAGGGAGAGTCATTTCCCCCTGTTTCTGCAGGTGTACTTTTATGTCCAGTTCAGTGGGAACATTAGGTCAAAATAGTTTTATGTTCCAGCATTTTATGGAAAGGGGATTGGGAAGATGAGGCTGGTTTTCTTACCTTCTTATCTGCTTTTATCTGTAAGAGTCAGTGGGTAATCCCTTTTTTTCTTTCTTTTTTTTTAACCCCTCTTTGTCCCAAAGTATGGGAGACCCTTCTGTCTCTTTGTCTCCTCCTGAACTGGTGTATACTCTTAAAATTAGTTAAGGCTTAGTTATGGGGTGGGTCCTGTATGCAGGCTGGGTGCCTCAGAGACATCCCACTATCACATCTCACTGCCATGAATTGCTACCAGAGGAGAGTGAAAGCATCTTGCACAATCCTCATTAGGACATGGGAGATAATCTGTGAAACAGATTTAATGTGCTTGGAGGTCAGTAACTGCTGGAGGCCTAGTAGCCATTAGTTGTCATTAAAATCCTGTTGTTAATTACCAACAAGTACTGTAGAACCTTTTATGGGTTTTCTAGTCTAATAAAATTTAGAACATTACAAAGTGGTTAGACATAAATGTATAATCACATATCTGTTCTGGGGGCAAGAATTAGTTGGGGAGTTACCTCACTGTCTTTGTTGAGTCTAATCATATTAGTTTGAGAGTGAGGCATTGACAGCTTGTAGTCTGCAGCTAGGACATGCTGATAAACCTGACCCAGGCAGGTTCCTTTGAATTTTTCAGGTGGGAACAAGCAACCTAGCCTTGTGAGCTGCAAATAGGACAGCTGATTATCCTCAAATAGTCAAGCCTGATGATAAAAGAAATCCAACAAGTGCAAATGATGCATATTAGACAGCTGTGTATTAATAGTCCTGCAAGGTAATTAGCGTAATTAGGCATAAAGGGTAAGCATTTAATCAGCGATACAGTGACATTACCAATGCCTAGTCAAACAAAGATTTTTTTTTTTCTCTTATTTGACTTTTTAAAAAATAGCTACTGAATGCTCAGCGAAATAAGCCAAAAAGAAAAAGAAAAATACCGGATGGTCTCACTCATAGCAGGAATCTAGAAAACTTAAATAAGGGACCAGGAAAACGAATAACTATAAGAAAGTGAAAATCAAAATCAACAAAAAACTACGAACCAGAGACGCTTTTAAGGGGGCGGGGGTGGGAGGGGAGAGATTGGGGTCAGAATGGGGGGGCTGCAATTGTATGGGGAATATAAAAATAAAATTTATTATTAAAATTAAAAAAAAAAAGTGAAAAAAAAAAGAAATAAAAAAAAAATAGCTACTGATCACTGTCACTGTTGAGGTGTTTTTTTGGTTTTTGGGTTTTTTTTGTTTTTTTACCAAAACCCTGTAGTTTACTGCTAATGCTATTCTGAAGCCATTAAGAAAGATAGCATCTTAGCTTAGATTGCCCAGCATCAAGGCTTCCCCTCAACTTAAGCCATTTTCTATTCTCAAGCTTACGGCATCTGTCATTCTATCTTAGACTATTTTCTCCTTCTCCCCACTTCTGTCCATCAGTATAGGCCAGTGGGTTACTGGCTGCTGTGACCATGTAGCTTTCCCAAATGGGTGCTTTCAGTGGAAATCCTATTGCCCAAAGTGATGGATGGCTGGTGTCAGGAATTAACAGTGTCACAGTGCTTTCCGAGTTTAGGCTTTGCAAAAACCTGGTTGGGTTTGAGGTAAGAGAAGTAGGGAGGATGAATCTGTTTGCTATAACAGTGGGTTTTGGTGACAGACGAATGAACAAGATGCAAGCCAGAGCTGGGAGAGCTCAAGTCTTCATCTCTGGAGCAGGGAGACCTCCCAGGGTCCCCTCCAAATGTTCGCTTTCCTCCCAATTCACAGTCAAATCAAAAGAAAGTGAATTGACTGTTTTGGTATAAATCCCAGCCTTAAAGCTGTATGACCATTCCAATAAAATCTCTACTGACTGAAGGGTACTCAACACCCTTTAATGGGGAGGAAGTACTTCAGCACCACGTGACTGTCAGTGTGTGAGAAACCATTCAGATGTGGGGTGACTGAGCAGCTGGTCAGCACAGCATGTGACCATCACACCCTCTCTGTTTTGATGGGGAAGAACATTAGCGAGATGATCCTTAGACTTCAAACTTCATGACTCGCTGAAACTTCAAAAACTTTTTGAAAAACAAAAGGGTTGCCACTTATTAGGTTGCCCAGTAAGGGGAGGGTGCCGGAAGGGCAGAAAACCTACTTCTGTCATCAGCATTCTTTGAAGAAACAGGACATTTAAACACTGAAACAGAAGGACAACTTCTTAGCAAAAGGTATAGTTCTTTGCATGGAATATAATAGCTTTATAGAAAGACCTAAGTTGTCCTAATCTTTCTTGGCCAAGTTCAGTTGCTTGGCCATTGGATTGGAGGACCCTGGGTCTCTGAACAGTGGGGAGGGATCTGCAGGAACAGGAGTGGGGTGGGGGGTCGCTGAGGAAAATGAGCTCATTAACATATGGTCTTGGGTGGAAGTTATTTATCTTGTCTTGCCCTGTGGGTGGGCTCTAGTAACAATATTGATTCCAGATACTTAAACTTGAGATAATCTCAACACGTTTCTAACACTGGCTTGCTAGCTAGCTGCCAGCTTTTTTCAGTAATGGATAGGTTGACCTTCTAAATTCATCTTTAGGATTTATTATCATTTTGCTATTTTTTTTATGTAAGAGAGCTTCTGCCCCATTGTAACATGTTTCAGGAAAGATATCTTCCTTTCCAGGAGTATACCCAGCTCTGAGTTGTGTAACCAAAGGGTATATATGTCATTGACTTGTTGATTTGGCTTTGGATGATATATCATGTACTTTTTTTTTTTTAATTAGTAAACTTTTGCATTTCCTGACAGTGTGCCACTTGACAGAGGTTTAAGTGCCTAGGAGAGTAGTAATCAGCAGCAAGTAGCTTGTGTCTGAAATGAAGCTGTTGGCAGCTACTTGAGGGTCATTGAAAGTTTGTTGTGCTCATTTTATTTACGGGTTTCCAGGTGAATGCCAAACTCCCAATTGGGACTCCGGATTACATGGCGCCCGAGGTGCTGACTGTGATGAATGGGGATGGAAAGGGCGTCTATGGGCTGGACTGTGACTGGTGGTCGGTGGGAGTGATCACTTATGAGATGGTTTATGGAAGGTCCCCGTTCACTGAGGGGACCTCGGCCAGAACCTTCAGCAACATCATGAATTTCCAGGTAAAGAGCTGTGAGTGAATTTCCAAGTCATTGAAAAATGGTATTGAAAAATTGTGTGAATGAACATTTGTGTAAACTGGCGGTATTGGATGATAATAACAATAGCAAATACTCACATAGCCCTTTCTTGGTGCCAAAAGCTGCCCCAGACACTCTATTAATTGTATTTCATTGACTTTCAGCTGCCAGGAACTGTAAGCCTACGCTGTTGTTTTATGTACCATTAAAAAAGAAACACTGAGCCAATCAATGTGTGATTTCGTTGATTAGAAAATACATTTTGATTTCAGTGCTGATAAATGTGAATGTGAATCTTCACATTGATGAAATATAGTCTATTATCTCAATTAATGCTCAAACAACCCTGTGAAGTAGATATTATTCTCATTTTTTTTTAAAGATTTATTGATTTATGCATACAAGAACTGGGGGGTGAGGTGATTCACCAGAGACAGAGTGGGGAGCGGAATAGGCAGAGTGAATGAAATATACTGCTGAGGGGAGCAGCAGGCGAGTCAGGAGAGGTCTGCTGCGCCATGTGAGTAGCACCCTGGCCGGCCGGGGATCGAACTTGTGCAGCACTGGCTAGCGATAACTAGACAGTGCTGTCTTTAACCCCTGCGCCACCAGAAGGTCCCTTTTCTCATCTTATAAATGAGGAGACCAAGGCAAGGGTAGTTAAGTAACTTGCCCCAAATAATAAGGGCAAACTAATTTTGAAGCCCATGGTGTTGATGTTATGCTATACTGCTGCTTAGTACTACTAGCTATTGAATATGATAGTAGAATTGAATGAACACATGAATTATATATATGGGAAAATATATATATATAAAGTAGAATTAAAACTATTTTTGAATAACTCTGCTTTCTACTATATTAAGCCCATTTCTGAAGGATTGGATAAAGATGTATGTTTTATTTTCAGCCAGAAGGAAAAAAAGATATTTGTATCTCTCCCAATTTTATCTTTCTAAAGTGCTTAATACTGTTTTTTTATGTATTATGTATACATATTTTAACATATGTATATTATTTGTTATCCTTGTCACCTCTTGAGTTAGTTTCCCCTTATATGATTCTTGGGGCTCATTTATTCCCTTTTCAATCCACTCCCTCAGTAACGAGTGCATTGCACCAGGTACTGGCAGATACCAGGTTCACAATGATTGCCAAGAAGGCGAAGGCTCCCTCTGCCTTGAATTCCACCATCACACAGAAGTCAAAATTCATTGTGCATCTGCAGAGGTAGAATACAGGAGCATGTGGAGGGAGTGAGAGGGTAGAAGAGGTAGGTGCGGAAGGCAAGGCGGGTTGGGCAGGGTGTTTCCAGGCAGAGAGAAGAGAGTGATTTGTTCAGGCAGCTTTAAATAGCTCATCATTGTTGCCCAGCCAGGAGCAAGATGGGGAGTACAGCGAGATGAGACAGGAGAGGGGCGCAAGGTCAAGTCAGGAGGGGTATGGAGCCCCTGCAAGGGAACTAAGTCTTTTGATGTGAACAGATCATTTATTTTGAGAACATGCCTTTGATTCAAAGTGAAGAGGACAGAAAACTCCCTTCTTTAAAAAAGTAAGAAATGAACTTGCACATATGAAAAATACCTTCTTAACTTTCAGACCCGAGAAGCTGAATTTGCTAAAGAAATAATTATTTTATTTTTTTGGAATAGCGCTTTTTGAAGTTTCCGGATGACCCCAAAATCAGCAGTGAATTACTTGATCTGATTCAAAGTTTGTTGTGTGGCCAGAGAGAGAGACTGAAGTTTGAAGGCCTTTGCTGTCATCCCTTCTTCTCTAAGATTGACTGGAAAAACATTCGTAACTGTAAGTAGAGTTCCTTTGATTATAAGAAACACTTAAGAATGATCTGAAATTCTCCTACCCCACAGAAGCTGGTCTAAATGATATAAATAAAGGCTCTCATTATCTACAGGAATATAAAAGGCTACTGATATAACTGTCTTTGAGTAAAAATTCTACGTTAAAATTGCTGGCCTAGAACTGCCGTTTTTCACTTATCAAACTGTGTTTATGTGACCTTTTGCATATTACCCCTCAATAAGTTTGAGGTACAGATTGATGGAATTGGAAGGCTGTCACTTGGTTTGGCAGTGTTTTTTCTTTCTTGTGTGTGTAGAAGAGTTGGAGTGTAGGCTGGTGATGCTGGGGGTGTGTGCATGTGAGAGGATTCACTAGAGAGAGAGTGGGGAGCAGAACAGGCAGATCGACAGAAATACACTGCTACGGGAGTGTTACAGGACAGGGAGGGGGCACTCCAAAACCCTCAAACCTACCCGCTCTAAATAGATTCTGCCATCCACTGCATCAAGACAAAACATACTCCAGTGTGTAAGACCTTCAGTGGAAAGAAACTTTAATACAATTAGTGTGCAATACAGAAAAGGGGAAGAACATAGTTTTCAAATCAAGCACCCAAAGTTACCCATCCCTTTGTGGGTAAATGCCCAGCCAAACAAGTTTGGCCCAAAGCAGGGATTCTGAGGCTGGAAAGCCTGCCACAAGTCTAAGGTATCTCCTGGTGGGGACCCATAGAAAAGGGTCAGAAGCAGCCAGACAAGTCTGGAAGGAAAAAATAAAAATCGAAATCAAGATAAATGCTGCCATTGTCAGCCTCCCCATGAGTCTCTCACCCATGTTTATCTCACCCAGTCCAGGACCAAAAAAGCAAGTGCAGCTTCTTCACATGTCTCTCTGCTCCATGTGCCTCCTCCAGGTCTCCTTCTGGCCCCCCATCATGCTCCCTTTCTTTCCCAGTCTCCTCTTCAGCTTCTTCTCCTCCCTGTTCAGCTCCACCCTCCCTTGGGGGGGGGCAGGGAACCTGGAACCTCCCCCTTTTCAGGGGACCACCCTGTTACAGGAGCAGTGGGCAAAACAGGAGAAGTCTGCTGCTCCATATGTGGGTTAGCTCCCTGGCTGGGGATTGAACTAAGGCCACAGAGGTAATAGTGGTGAGACTTAACCTCTGTGCTACCAGGGAGACCCGAAACAGGGTTTTTTCCCAGAGGAGAAATTGGACCTAGGTATTTCCCTGGTGGTTTGGGGGAAAGACTCAGTGTAGGCGGTGTGCCCAGGATGCTCTGCTAATGGCCAAGCTTGCAAAAAACTATAGACATCTCTCTGTGTTTATTTGCTTCTCTCTAAAACATTTGACATGCAAAACCTATAATGCACATTCAGTAGATCCGTTCATACAACACTTTGTAGTCAACAAACTAAATTTGTACTTTGTACAAATTGAGTACAAAGACTTGATTTATTATCCACAAAGCTAAAATGGTTGTTTTACTTACAAACTGATTTTTTTTCAAATTGTTTTTAGTCTTGAATTTTCTATTGATTAAATGTTACCTAATGACCTGACCCAATAGTTAGCATAGATTGGAGCTAATGGGAAAGCAGCTGGCCTGTTTGAGTATGTGTTTTATTTTCAGTGATGGGGTTAAGTGGAACCCACTTCTGGGTGTCAAAAACCAGGCTTCTGGTTAGAACTCTGTTGGCATTATTACCTTGGGCACCTTCAGCTGGCAAGCTTGAGTCCAGTCAAGATCCAGTACAGTCCATTTGAAAGCCATTTTGATCATTTCTCTAACTTCCCGCCAAAATATCGAAACCACATTTCTATGAAGCTGTCCTGACAATTCTGCTTTCTTCGGATAGCCACAGCTTTTTTTTTTTCGGATAGCTCAGCTTTTTTTTTTTTTTTTTTAAATTTTTCGGCATCCCCCACCCCCGCCCAATCTTCAAGGATTAGTTTTTAATTAGTGGTATTTTCACTGCAGTCTTCCTTTCTTTGCCCTTAGAAAGATTTGATGCAATTTCTTTTAAATACAGTTCAAGTACTTAATCTTCTCTTGCTTTGCCTTTTTATCTCGCTGTAATCTCCTTGAGTGAGCAGTGAATTATTTTTTTTTTATGCATACCCTTGTTGATTATGCCTAGCAACTATCTCCACTCGAGTAAATCAATGAGTGGTGATTAAGTCCCCAGGTAACTTTATTTTGCGTTTTGGTAAACCTTGATGCTGTTTTGGCAGTCTCCTCAGATTTTGTTCTAGTCTTTTCCTTCCATGCTGTTGATAGGTCTTAGACTAGCTGGGCTTCCAGGTGTATTGCTCTGTAAACGATGCAGAGCCCTTAGGCACACACATCAGCATCAGCATCGAATGTGGCCCACGACTCCACCATGAGGCCTGTCTTGTTTTCACCTCCTTACTTTTTTCTGTAACCTTTTTTTTTTAATCAAGCTAATATTAGTTTAGAACACTGTACATGATTTAGGGGAGTAGGTTCACCCCACTTCAGATGTGCATTTACCACGCCATACCACACCCACCACCAAAGCATTGATAGTCAGTCTACCCTGAGGTCTGTCTTCCGGAAGGTCAGGGTTATCATCTTTGGGATGAGATACTTTTGATTACTCAGTGTAGTCAGTGTAGTCTAGGCCGCCTTCACATTTCCTCACACCATGCCCTTCAGTGGCTGTCTGCTTAACTAAAAGTAGCCATTTGTTTTTTCCTTAGCTTAACACCTGCTCTCCCCACCCCTCTCCCCATTCCATTCTGGTCAGGGAATTCTCATTCAACTGAATTTTGATTTTTTTTTTTTAAATAGAGGCATGTTTTATTTATTTATTTTTATTTGTTTGTTTGTTTTGTTTATACAAGCACTGGGTACAGTCAGAAGCGCGGGAGGTTGAGAGAATTCACCAGAGCCAGAGCGGGGAGCAGAGCAGGCAGAAGGACCGAAGTCCACTGCTGAGGGGAGTAGCGGGTGGCAGGAGAGATCTGCGCGCCATGTGGGATCCTCCTCCGGTGGCCGGGGAGCAGACTGGGATCGAACCGGCACTGCAGAGGCCGCAGGCAGCTTCGCAACCCAGCGCTCAACCGCTGCGCCACCGGGGAGGCCCGATATTTTTTTTTTTTTTTAAGGGAAAACTATATGTGTAAGATTATAGCATCGTTTCATATACATATATATGGAAATAATTACTACAAAGTAATTAACATCTCTTCCCTTACTTACCTTTTTCTTTTTTTGTAATGAGAGCAGCTGAAATATATTCTCTAAGCAGCCTACTAGCATTATTAACTTCTAGCATTATTATGATAGTCACACTGTACATTAACTCTCCAGATTTATCATCCCAGCGTTTTCTCAACTTCACACTCTTTGACCCACATCTCCCCATTTCCATTACCTCCCCACTCCAGGTAACCTCTGTTCTACTTCCTGCTTCTATGTATATAACTCATTTAAGATTTCACATACAGGGCCATCCTGGTGGTGCAGGGGTTAAAGTCTCAGTGTTAGCAAGCTGTCACCAGCCACTGTGGCATGAGTTTGAACCCTAGCCAAGGAGCTAACCCACATGGCACAGCAGACCTCTCCTGTCTTGCCCGCTGCTCCCCTCAGCAGTGTATTTCAGTAGATCTGCCTGTGCTACTCCCCACTCTGTCTCTCACCTCCTGCACCTCTGGCCTACACCCCAGTTCTTATATACATAGATAAAATGAAGTAAATCTTTAGGAAAAAAATTAAAAAAAAAGATTTCACATACAGGTGAGATCATGCAGTTCTTTTCTTTTTCTGTCTGGCTTATTTCACTTAGCATAATGGCCTCCAGGTTCATCCATGTTTTTTGCAAATGGCAGGATTTCCTTCTTGTTTAAGGCTGAGTAAACATTCCTTTGTATGCACAGTCATGTGTTACTCAATAACGTTTTGGTTGATGATGAACCACATATAAAATGGTGTCCCTAGCAGGCTCCCCTGTACAGCATGGTTGGTGAGCACGCTTAACTGCCCAGGTGGGGTAGTTACTTACTGTGGTGTTTGCATAGTGACTAGAGTCCCTAGTGTTGCTTTTCTCAGGATGTACTCCTCTCTTTCTGCTCATCCACTCACAGACTCTGGGTTGTTTCCATATCTTGGCCTTTGTAAGTAATGTTGTCATGACTATTGGAGTCCAGACACCTCTTTTGAGGTCTTGATTTCATTTTCTTTGGCGCTCTATCCAGAAGAGGAATGACTGGATCCGATGGTAATTTGATTTTTAGTTTTTTTTTTTTTTTTTTTCCAGTAAATGCCATACTGTTTTCCATGGTGGTGGCACCAATTTACAATCCCACCAACAGGGTTACCTTTCCTCCACTTATTTGCCAGCACTTGTTATTTCTTGACTCTCTGATCATGGTCATTCTAACAGGTATGAGATGATACTGCTTTGTGGTTTTGATCTGCATTTCCCACATGACTAGTGATGTTTTCCATCTTTTTATGTACTTGTTGGCTACTTGTATGTCCTCTCTGGAAAGTTGTCTTCCTGGGTCCTTTGCCCTGAATTCTGATTCTTAAAACTCTTGATGGTTTTTATTGACTTCTAACTCCTAGCATAGTGGCCTTGAAAAGTCATGAAATATGTTTGCTTTGATTTTTTTTCTCTTAATTTTTTTTAAAGTATTTTTTTTTTTTAAATTGCTAGTTTTTCTTTTTCTTTTTCTTTTTTTTTTTTTTAAAGATTTATTTATTTATTTATACAAGCACTGGGTACAGTCAGAAGCGCGGGAGGGTGAGAGAATTCACCAGAGCCAAAGCGGGGAGCAGAGCAGGCAGAAGGACAGAAGTACACTGCTGAGGGGAGCAGCGGGCTGCAGGAGAGGTCTGCGCGCCATGTGGGACCATCGCCGGCGGCCGGGGATCGAACCGGTGTTGCAGAGGCTGCAGGCAGCTTCGCAGCCCAGCCCTCAACTGCTGCGCCACCAGGGGAGGCCCTTTTCTCTTAATTTTAATAAGCCTTTTACT